CTGGATTTTGATGTTCCGAACAACATTCCAGTCAAGTACATCAAAGCTCCCAACATCAACTCACCCTACCAAACAGTGGCTACTATAGAGTCAATAACTTCAATGACTCATATTATTTAGTATCTCAAAGATGTGACTCTTCCTAACAATAAAACTGAGGCAAGAATCCGACAAACTTAAGCTGTTTTTTACACTTTGATTGGAGACCAACTGTATAAGCGAGGATTTAGCACTCTTCTACTTCGATGTGTGACAGATGAAGAAGTAAACCACATCATGAGAGAGATGCATGAAGGGTTCTATGGTAATCACATTATTACATGATCTTTCGCCAATAAATTTATCCGACAAGGATATTATTGGCCTTTGTTTCACTAAGACACATACAACTTTGTGAATAACTGTGACACATGTTAGAGATTCACGAACATACCACAGGCTCATTCCAACAAATTAACAACAATGACTAGTTTTTGGCCATTCGCTATGTGGGGAATTGATCTCATCAGTCCCATGCCAACCAGTAAAGGTGACATCAAATATGTAGTGGTCGCAATGGATTGTTTCACAAAATAGGTTGAAGTAGAACCTTTGGCCGCGATCACTAAAAAGAAGCTTAAGAACTTCGTCTTCAAGAATATAATATGCTACTACGAGATTCCTCACACCCTTATCTCAGATAATGGGAAATAGTTTGACAATAAGGAATTCAAGCAGTTTTGCGAAGATTTGGGGATTCAAAAGAAATTCACCTAGTAGCAAGACCGCAAGCTAATGGGCAAGTTGAAGTTGTCAACAAGACCATTAAGCACACTTTGAAAGCCAAACTTGGTGTAGCTTAAGGCAATTGGGTTGACAATATAGAACCACTCTGAGGACCTCTACTACAGAAACACCATTCTCGCTAGCATATGGTTGCGAGGCAATTATCCCAGTTGAGGTCGGGACAAGTTCTCTTTGAAGGGAATCTTACAAAGAGACAAACAATGAAACACTCATACGTACCAATCTAGATTTAGTCGAAGAATATCGTAACAAAGCTCAGTTACGAATAACTTCTTATCAACAACGAGCTAAGAGGTCCTTTGACTCCAAAGTTGGAAGAAGAGACTTGTAGGTCGAGGATCTTGTCCTCAAACAAGTTTTTCTTAGTACTAAAAAACCTAGCGTAGGAGTGTTGGGACCTAACTGGGAAGGCCCTTACCGAGTTGCTAAAGTCATACGACCAGGAACGTATCACCTAAAGTGACTAAATGGTCTTGAGGTATCATGAGCATGGAATGCTAAACATCTATGACCTTATTATCAGTAAAGTCCAAGTTCTTTCTTATTTTCATTCGTTTTTTTTCTCATGTACAAGTAATTTTTATCAGTAAGATGATTACTCTTCAAGAATTACCAATGTTATCACACTAATTCTTTGTAATCTTGTTATTTAATTTTACAATATTATATAATTTATGCGATTAGAAGAATTGTATTCATTAGTGACGTGCTTAAATATAAAAAAGTACGATCACAAATGAGAAAAAAACTTGTATATATTCATTCAAAAAAAAATATATATGTACAATGGGAAAACCTAGAGAACTACAAAAAAAAAATGAAGGAAATAAAGCTTCTCCAAGGCGAGCTGATAGGAGGACAATCACTTTGCCTTGTCTTCAAGATCTTTAGCCTCAGTTGCTCCAACCTCTGGATCGATAGCTCTGACTTCAAGATTCTCTTACTCCTCGTGACCACTCTCCTCGTGAATGTCCATCTCATTTTCTTCATATTCAAGAGGGATGAATGGCAACAATTCTTCATTGACTTTTATCTTCTCATTAAAGAATGCTTCAATGGCACCTCAGTAGTCTTTAGGAAGGCAAGTGAGGTCCATGTCAAGGTTATCTTCGCATATCTTTCTAATAACCTGTAGCAACCACTCCCCAACTTCTTCTCTATCTCGAGCTTAGAAAGCTGCAACTACTCGTTCAAAGAGGAGATCTGTTTGTGAGCAATCTTAAGCTCTCATTATTTCTCTTTGGTAGCTTTCTCCATGACAGCCCATAGCTTGGTCCGAGATGCTTCGGTCTTCTTCTCGTGATCCTTCCTCACTTGAAGCATTTTCCTCTCATGCCTAATTCTCTGGTGAGCTTTACCACCTTCAACTGAGGCTCCTTATTCAAATCTTCCTTCTTCTATAGTTCCTTCTTTTGAAACTCGACCATTTTCAAAAGGGCTTCTTTTTCCTCCAGATGCTTGTTTGCCAAAACTTGGACCTCCCTCATAGTTTTATTGGTCACTGTGAGGGCTTGTCTCAATTTGACGATCTCTTCCTTCAACTCCTAAGTTTTCTCATTGGAAGTAAGTTTAGTCTTGTTGTGGAAGATGTTCAAGGCTTAAGCAGCCTGCAAAAGAGAATGAACACAAGTCAATTAGTCATAAAAAAGAGGATCTTTGACCAAATCTCAATAGAGATCATAGAGAAAAAAGATTTCGTACCTGATTTTGTAGCTAAAGTATCGTCAATAGCAGGTTGGAAGGCTTGACCTTCTGATACCTCTCGAAGGTCGTCTCTAGCAGGCACTCAAGCATGGTAAAGTGATAAGGTTGCAAATGCTTGGGAAGCTTCTCGATGAGGTCAAGAATGGAGTCATCATGACCCTTCACCTCAAAAGTTACCCTGACTTCTTTCTGTGTAGCCTCATTGACCTTTTCTTGAATAGTTACTGGTGTGTCCTTCTGTTGAGGCTTAAATGGAGGATTGAGTGGTGAAAATGCGGATTTATTTTGTGATTTGGGGGTGAAATTATAAGGAATTCAAGGTTTAACACATTATTTATGATGAGTTTCCTTACTTGTTTTGTTATCTTCCGGAATCACGAGTTTTGTTGCGTTTTTAGGTAATCAGGTGCAAAAAGATGGATTATTCGTGCTTGTGTTGGTGTTCGAATATCCTGGACCCATCGAGTACAGATAAATCAGGGTGAGTGATAAAAGAGTGAAATTCCGTAACTGAGCCGCAACACTCTTTTTTGAGCCGCTATGTGCAGATAACGAAACTCATATTGCGCCCCAACAAAGAATCATCATGGCAGTCGAAAGTTGATGAAATCCAAATTGCACCACAGCGTGATAGGGTTTTTGTCGAAGGAAAAATCACTTGGATTCGTGCCGCAACGCATTTAAAATGCATCATGATACAAATTGCGATATTTGGAAAAACTCTGCATTTTCAACCCTAATTTTGGCAACCAATATTTACAATTTTTCCATTTTACCTAAAAACTATATAAAGGCAACTTTAGTTCGATTTTCATGATTGTTAGGTTATATAAAATACTTTTACAACTTTTGAGGCTTGGGAGAGAGTGATTGATTGTGTAAACCTAAACCTTGATCATCTTGAGTGAATCCTGCATCCAAATGTGTAAGGTGAGATCAAGGTTTTTTTCTTGTATTTATGAGTAGCTAAACTCTTTCCTAGTGTATCAAATGCAATCTAATTAGACTAATTTATGTTTATTGTTTAATCGAATGTTTAATTGATCCAATGGTATTTTAGTTTTGTTCATTTATGTTTATTGAGTTGATTAATCATAAATATTGCATGATTGCCTTTGATTTAAGGTTGAATGGTTGTATGATTTAAGGTTAGGCTACACGACACTGGCTAATCTCGAATATCTCTTGATGTTTGATCGTTGTTGATGTTTGATCGTGTTTAATAGTTGATTGATTGACTATATGAGTTAGGATTAGGCTATACGCCACTAGCTAATCTCATATTGCTCTGATGAACGATTGATTTATGTTTGTGTGATGCCCTCGACAGATGTAAGTTGGTTTGTATTCATTTTGGTACTTTTGTGCATAAGGGGTTTTTGTTATTTAGAATAGGCTACACGCCATTAGCTAGTTTGGATGATGAAAACACTAGGGTGATCCGGTTGGCCACTGCACGACCTTACCTTGGTAAGTATTGACCCTAAGATTTGGATCGAGCAACATCGGTTAGATTAATAACATAAAGTAGGATGATTATGGTGAATTTGGATACACTAGACCTTTTCTCATTATTTGATCATTTGTTTAGATCTTGTTTTTATCTTAGTTGTTATTTTAGTATTTCTGTTATTCTTACTTGAATTTTAGTTAATTTGGATTTTATTAAATTGTTGGCTAAATTTATTATCTCACTTAATTTCATTATTTTAGTTGTTTTTCACAGTATTAGATTAATTGATAGCTCGACTCTCTGTGGGATTGACCCTTACTTGCGCACTTTACTACAATAGCCACCAGTGCACTTATGGAGGAATTAAAGTTGTTTTTAACCAAACAAGTTTTTGGCGCCATTGCCAGGGAGTTTGAGTTATTTGATTTCTTTAATATTTTTGTTTTTATTTTTTGTAGTTAGATTTTATTTTCTTTTATTTTAGTTGTTTTTATTATTTTCTAGTTGTTTTGTGTATTTTTGCATTACAATTTTTCTTTGTCTGGAGTTCTTTTGAATGCGAGGTCATCGATCATTGGATGAAGAGGTGCTTCCTTATTTTGACAAGGTGAATTTGATCGGTAGCAAGATAAGAGAATTTGAAAATTCAAAAGAATTAAGTGCATCAAATTCAGAATCTGAAGAAGAGATGGTGAATCCACCCTGCCTGATGAAGGAGTATGTGTGTCCTACCATTGGAACGTCGCCCTCCTGGATTGTTTTGAGTGCTGTAGCGAGGAATTATGAGTTGAAGAGTACCCATTTTCATATGCTTCCTTTATGCCATGGGATGGCCACTGAAGATCCATTGACAGTTATTTGAGATTTTTACTCAACCGTGAAAACGTTTTCTTTGTAGGGTTTCATTGAACATCAATTGAGGATAAGATGTTTTCCATATACATTGAAGGACGTAGCAAATAGTTGGTTCATGTTATTGGCACCAACTTCACTTAACACTTGGGACGCAGCCTATAACAAGTTCATAGGTAAATTTTATTCTCATGCGATGACTGCAGAACTAAGAGGTAAAATTCTACTTTCTCTCAACTTGATGGTGAGCCATTCCATTAAGCGTGGGAAAGATTTAAATTGTTTTTAGTTCAATGTCCACATCATAGATACCCTTTAGAATTGTTGAATCAGTTTTTCTATGATAGACTTACTGTTCAATTAAAAACAACTTTAATTCCTCCGCATGTGCACATGTCGCTTTTGTAGTAAAGTGCACAAGTAAGGGTCAATCCCACAGAGAGTTAAGCTATCACTTAATTTAATACTATGCAAAAACAACTAAAATAATGAAATCAAGTGAGACAATAAAATTACCCAACAATTTAATAAAATCTAAATTTACTAAAATTCAATTAAGAAAAACAATAATACTAAAATAACAACTAAGATAAAAAAGATATCTAAATAAGTGATCAACAATAAGAAATGGTCTAGTGTATCCAATTTCACCACAATTATCCTACTTTATATTATTAATCTAACCTATGTTTATCAATCCAAATCTTAGGGTCGATACTTACTTAGGTAAGGTCGTCCCGTGGCCAACCGGATCAACCTAATGTTTTCATAATTCAAAGTAGCTAGTGGCGTATAGCCTAGTCTAAATACAAAAACCCATTATGCATAAAAGTACCAAAATGAACACAAACCAACTCACATCTGTCGAGGGCATCACACAAACATAAATCAATTATTCATCAGAGTAATCTGAGATTAGCTAATGACGTATAGCCTAAGCCCAACTCATATAGCCAATCAATCAACTATTAAACACGATCAAACATCAACAACGATCAAAGATCAAGAGATATTCAAGATTAGCTAGTGGTGTGCAGCCTAACCTTGACTCAAACAACCATTCAACTGTAAATCAAAGGCAATCATGCAATAATAACGATGAATCAACTCAATAAACATAAATGAACAAAATTAAGATACCATTGGATCAATTAAACATTCAATTAAACAATAAACGTAAGCTAGTCTAATTAGATTACATTGGATACAATAGGAAAGAGTTTAACTACTCATAAATACAAGAAAACAAACCTTAATCTTACCCTTCTATATTTGGATGCAAAATCCACTCAAGATGATCAAGGTTTAGCTTTACACAATCAATCACTCTCTCCTAAGCCTCCAAAGTTGAAAAAGTGTTTGATAAAACCTAATATATCTCAAAATCGGAGTAAAGTTGCCTTTCTATAGTTTTTAGGCATAATTGTAAATAATGGTCACCAAAATTAGGGTTGAAAATGCGGAGTTTTTCCAAATATAGCAATTTGCGCTGTGGCGCACTTGAATTGTGCCACGGCGTGGGTCCAAGCGATTTTTCCTTCGATAAAAACCCTATCACACTATGGCGCAGATGAATTGCGCCATGGCGCAATTTGGATTTCGCCAACTTTATGCCGCAGCTCGATGGTTCTTCGTTGGGGCGTAATTTCAGTTTCGTCGTCTTCACATTGCGATGCAGAAAAGTGCGCTGCAACGCAGATGTAGAATTTCACTATTTTCTCACTTGCCTTGATTTATCTACACTCAATGGGTCCAAGATGTCCAAACACCAACACAAGCACGAATAATCCATCTTTTTGCACCTGAATACCTAAAAACACAACAAAACCTGTGATTTCAGGAGATAACAAAACAAGTAAGGAAACTCATCCTAAATGATGCGTTAAACCTTGAATTTCTTATAATTTCACCCCCAAATCACAAAATAAATCTACATTTTCAGCACTTAACACTAACATAAGCATGCTAGGCCATAGTTTATAATGTTGAGGGTGGTGCCTTGGGAGAAAAGACTACAGAGGAGACATACGAGTTGTATGAGATGCTTGACGCCTAATCACAATAGAAGAATGTTAGAATGTAACGCCCACATCGAGGTATGTATTTTCACTTATGCCTTAATACCCTTAGTTAAATTTTATTAAAGTTATCTTGAAAAAGTGTGAAGAAAATCCCTTAAACTTTCATTGCATTATTGCATCTAAACATGTGAATTTAGAAAGAATTATAAGCATGAACCATCTACATGCATACATACTCATGAGAGCATGAAAAAGCATTAAAGAATATTAAAGAGTAAATATAAGGAAATGAGAATATTAAAGAAATTCAAATCTGAGAAAGAACAAAGAAGAATAGAGAAGTGTGATGTAAGGAAAGAAATTCAGCATTAAAGCAACGGAGAGAGAAGGGTAGCATAACAGGTTTACTTACTGAGCAATTAGTGCTCACCCCGTTGTTTTCAATGTTTTTGTAGGTAGTAGGTGAGATGTAGTTGCATGGAACGTCAAGAAGCAGAAGGTTTTGGTGACACTATCGAGTTACTATTTTGTGACTTTATTATATTATGCAAATATTTGTATATAAAGAAAAATTAGTTATGGGCCCATTATTTTATACTCATCTACATGTATATTTTCTTATATATATCTAGTGAGTTTTAATGTTATTTTCCGATTATACTAGCTAGAGAGAAAGTATTACATTTTTGGTATCAGAGCAAAGGTTTTGGGATTTGACAGTGTGCCTCTCCCATCGCATTGATGTTTCGTAGCCGACCGCTGTAAGTTATTTCTTTCCTTACTTGTAGTAGATGAGTTAATTGAGTTGACTAAAAGTGTTGGTGTTATGTAGATGAGACGTAGAACCTGAGCAAGCAGTAGGAAGGAAATAAGTACGGGTGAACCTTCCATCCCTCCAGAATCTACTTCCCCTGTCCTCGATGAAGCGAGGATCTATAATATTATATAGCAAGTCTTGGTAGAGAATCGAGGAGGCTCTATACTAGAGAGAGTTGAGACCTCAATTATTGTACCGACCCCCAGAGAGGAGAGAGAGAGGTCGATACCCCTAGTAGTGCAGAATTGTATTAAGCCGATATATGGGTTGCCTAGCCAACATCAACTGTTAGAATTTAGGGGTGCTGCGGACCCAATAGTGGCAGATGAGTGGTTTAAATCAGTGGAGCGTACGACAACACTTTTCCCTATGATAGACTGGGAGAAGATTCAGTATGCCAGTTTCCTATTTAGGGGTGATGCCCGTATATGGTGGGAATTGATAGAGGATACTCATGATATAGCCTTGATGACCTAGGGAGATTTCAGAAGATTGTTTGAGGCAGAATATAGAACAGTTGATCGAGTCCATGAAAAGATTCAGGAGTTTATTAATTTACAACAAGGGACAGGCTTAGTGAAAGAATATTCAGTGAAATTTAATTCCCTAGCAAGGTTTGCGCCAAGTGTAGTGAGTACACCAAAATTGAGGAGGGATAATTTCGTGCATGGGCTAAAACCAGGAATAGCCCGAGATGTGATGGCCGGTGCTGAACCCCCTCAGACATACAGTGAAGCTTTGGAACGAGACTTACGCACATAAATATTTGTGAATAAGCTAACCCCAGCAACTCCATCAATAGTAGCCCCTAGTGTTCCACCTTTTGCTCCATAGAGAGACAGAGCTGATGCCCCCACTGATAGAGAGGTGAGAAATAAGAGAAGATTCCAACCTAAGAAGAATATGAGGGATTGACAGAATAAAAGGCAGAGAACTATTGAAGTTCCCCAGTGGAAGAAGTGTGGAAGAAATCATTCTAGGGAGTGTCATAGAGATTTTGGCCAAAATTTATGTTATAGATGCCAACAGCCAGGGCATATGATGAGAGATTGCAAAGCCCCTCCTGCACCTGCAGCGCAGACACCTAGAGGTACCAATGTTTGAGTGTTTACAGTAGCTCAGAGTGAAGCTGAAGCTAGCCCACCGTAGTTACCGGTCAGTTGTTATTTCATTCAGTTCCCCTTTATGCATTAATTGATTCTAGAGCCACACATTCATTTATTACACATGGGATTCTAGAGAGATTATGTTTGAAACCTATTAGAGTGGATTGTCCTATTAAGATAGAGTTACCAGATGATGTTAGTGTAGTAACTCAAGAGATACTTTCAAGGGAGTTCGTAGTGATCCATGGGAGGGAGTTGCCAGTGGATTTGCTAGTGTTTAATAAGCCCGATTTTGATGTTATTTTGGGCATGGATTTCCTGGGGAGATTTGGAGTAGAGATTGATTTTCGAAATAAGAAAGCCATATTTAATCTTGATGATGGAGATAAGTTTAATTTTGGTAAGGGTCACTAGCTTAGTATGTTAATTAGCAGTGTAAAGGCCAGAAAGTTGCTAAGAAAATGGTGCTCAAGGTATATTGCTCATGTAATGCATAGTAGTGATGTCCCACAACCAGAGATTCATAATGTGCCAATACTCCGAGAATTTTTAGATGTATTTCCGGAAGATTTGCCAGGTTTACCTCCAAAAAGAGAAGTAGAATTCAGTATTGAACTGGCACCAAGGACCGCACCAATTTCTAAAGCCCTTTATCGGATGGCCCCAACCAAGCTTCAAGAATTGAAAAAGCAACTTCAAGAACTCTTAGACAAGGGTTTTATTCGACCTAGCCATTCTCATTGGGGTTCTCCAATTTTGTTTGTGAAGAAGAAAGATGGGTCTCTACGGATATGTATAGATTACAAAGAGTTAAATAAAGTGACAGTGAAGAATAAATACCTGTTACCTCGTATAGATGATTTGTTTGATCAGCTGAAAGGAGTAGCCATGTTTTCAAAGATTGATTTGAGGTTAGGTTATCACCAAGTAAGGGTTGCAGAGCAAGATATTGCGAAGACTTCTTTTCGGACCAGATATGGGCATTATGAGTTTGTGGTGATGTCTTTTGGGTTAACCAATGCCCTAATAGTCTTTATGGTCTTAATGAACCAGGTGTTTTAGGATTGTCTTGATCGATTCATAATGGTATTTATTGATGATATCCTGGTTTATTCTAAGACAGAAGAGGAGCATGAAGAACACCTAAGATTTGTGCTACAGAGATTGCTAGATAAGAAGCTATTTGCCAAATTTTCTAAGTGTGAGTTTTGGCTAGATCAAGTTATCTTTCTAGGCCATACCGTCTCAAATGAGGGTATATCAGTGGATCCAAGTAAGGTAAAAGCAATTCTAGAATGGCAATAGCCAAAGACAGTAAAGAAAGTTAGAAGTTTCTTGGGGCTAGCAGGCTACTATAGGTGGTTTGT